TNTATATATATATATATATATATATATCTAATATATTAATGAAAATTTTATCAATTTTTTTATAAAATACTACTTATAAAAATACGTTTATAATTACAATTATATATGTAAAATGTATTTAAAAAATATTAATAATATATATTAGTAATACAAAAAAATCATAAAATATTAAATTTAAATATGTAACTAATTTTATTTTTTATTGCACATTAAAATTCTTTATTTTATATATATATATCATCAAATGTTTATAATATTTTACAAATATTTTATAAATATCTTACAAAAATTATGTAAATATATATAAATTTATGAATTTCTTTAGGGAAATTATTTATACATTTATGTAACAATTTTTATTTTTTATATAGATAAATTATATATAGATTATATAGAGAGAAAAAAAAATAGAAGTTTTGCCTTTTTGTATTTAATCAAAATTTTCATTAAATAAATCAAAAATTTTGTAAAGTTGCAAAGTATATATATTTTAATATTTATTATTACCTTTAATTAATAGATTTTTTTATATATAATTTTTTCATAAATAAAACAAAAAAAATTTATAAATCTTCTAAATAATGTGATGAAATTATTATTTTTTCTATAAATTAAATGTATTTTTTAAATAAATGAAAAAATTAAAATATAAAAATTTTATTACATATCTATTAATATCAAGTTATTTTTGTCAAAATATGAAATAATTTTTTAAAATTATATAAATATTTATATTTTTTCTAATTAATTTTGTTTAAATAGAATTTACTAAATTGCAATTTTAATATGCAGGTGATTTTATATAAAAAAAAAACAATATGAAATTAGATTTTTTTATTATTATATTAAAAAAAAAAGAAAAAAATTTATATATAAAGATATAATATATTATTATATACAATATATTTATCAATGCATACATTTACTCTTACATTGAAAAATATTCTACGTATATTTTGATGATATAATTTAATATTAAATATAATAATATTTTGAAAATGTAATTTATTAATTCAATATATTGTAAAAAATTTTGAAAACATTCACAATATAAATATTTCATTCATAATAAATATAAAACAATTTTTTATATTTAATATATTAGAATAATATTTTAATTTTAATTAGAATAAGTTTTTTTACAATTAATTGTAATAAACATTATTTTTATTTGATCTAAATAAATGATGCTAAATAATAAAATTGAATATGTTATAATTTTTGGTAGTATTATAAGTTCTATATTGTTTTATATTATATTGTTTTGTATTATAAGTTCTATATCACAGTATTGTTATTTTGTAAAACAAATACACGCAAAAGTTATTTATTTATTTACACTGAAGTTAATTGATATTATTTTATTCAAAATTATTTTTAACAACTTAAAACTAATTTAAAAAATTCATCTCTTCTCTATATTCTTTAAGTAATTACCTTATTAAATGTATTAGAATTTAATATATTTCACAAGATACAAATAAATAACATAAATATGTTATAATTCCAAATGTGTTTCATTTTGTATTACATAATAACCATACTGAAATTTATATGTGTAAAAATATATATATTAATTTAAAGCCAATTTTTATATATATATTTATAATATATCGTTTTCGTAACATTATAAAAATATTATAAAAATTAATAAATTGCAAAAATATTAGAATTAAATATGAAAATTAGATATAATTTCTTGATTTTTAATATAATAATATAAGATTTAAAAATGTTTAATTTTAAAATTTATTTTTTGTTTTTGTTATTTACTAACATTTAAAAATACAAAAAAAATATATTTTATCATCTGCATAATTTTAGAAAGTTAAAATGAAATTTTATTTAAGTGTGCTTCAATTTCAATTCTCAAAATCATAATACTAAAATATGAGATATTGTGTTATTTTGTCAGAAATTTTTCATAATTTCATATTATTTTATAAGAAATATATAATATTCATTTTTTAAAAATATTAATTTTTATAAAGTTCTCTTAATAATCACTTTTTTACAGCTAATCCTAAAGATTAGTACTTTCATGTTCTGATTTAATTCGTGCGATGGGTGGAGGTGGAGGCGGTGGTTGTGGCCGTGGAGGCCTTTGATGAAATCTTGGAGAAGCCGGAACAGGTTGTGGAGGTGAAGTTTTAACAACTACTACCGTCTCAGTCTGAGTTTGCACATCGATAATATTTCCTTCTGATCTTGTTCGCACATGAGCTTTTGTTTGCTCTGGAGCATTTAATTTGGCTGGCTTTTCCGGTCGTTCACCATACAAGGACATAGATGAAGGTCGACTACCTACACTGGGGCTTCTCTGTAAGTTCGAAGCCGCGTTGCCATTGTTGTTGCCCGAGGTGCAGAACACATTGCCATTTCCACGCACTTGTATTATACTGACCTGTTGTTTGTCCACTGAATATACATGAGCTCTTTCCAAAGTTAAAGGCTATAGATTATTAAAAAGGAAAAAGATATTAATAACTATGAAAAATCATTATGCAATTTGACATTTTAAATAAAATTAATTATTAACACGTTTGGATTCTTCACTTTATTTATAGCTTACGTTATTGTATTTCAAAATGCAATATCCAGGCAGTGATATTTGTTGAGTCCACTGGCAGTAACTACATTTATTTTAAAGAATTATCTTACATACAATACTGAAAATGAATAATACTTGAAAATTCCTAACACTCACCCCTGTTTCAGAATCTAAGTTTTCATTACTGTGACGTGGCTGTTGTTTAATGAGGCTTGAAGGTCTAATTAATCCAGCTGGACGTTCTGGTATTGCTGGTTTACTACTTCTGTCAAGAGTACTTGTACAAATAGGATTATTATCCGACTTCTTACGTAATTCAACTATTTCTTCTTTTAAATTAAAATATATATTAAAAATTTCATATTATACATTTTCTTAAAAATTATAAAAATATTTATTATTTACCTGTATTATGTACTATATTAGTTATACTTCTTGGTGCAGCTATTGGTCTACGTCTTTCTATTGTGGAAGGAAGTGATCTTTCAATTGGTATTATTTTTAATTTATGTGTAGAATTTTCTGAATTTTCAAGTTCCATAACAGATTTATTGCACAATATATAATTTTCTATAGTATTTCTCTCAAAAGCAATAGGAACATTTATTTTTTTTTCATATCTTTGAGTTTCTTGATTAATTTTTTCAGTTTCAATATTTGCATTATGTAAATCTTCTTGTACTTCATTAATGCATTCTGAATAGTTAAAAGATGAAGAATCTAGTGCATTCGTTTCATTACATTGTTTATTTTCTATTTCTGAACTTCCATCTTGTTTTTCTATATTATTGTCATGTTTACTAATTGATTCAGTATTTATTGTTTCATGTTTTTGAATTTTACGATTAAGAGTTGCTGATGTTAAAGGTCTAGGTGGTTTATCAGGTGTAGGTGGTGGTTTATCATCAGATTTTTTATCATGTTTATCTGGAGTAGTATTATTTGGTGGAGTTGGAGCTGGTTTGTTTTTCCTACGAGTTGCTGGTTTAGGACTACCTTGTGGAGGACTTTCACCATGATCGCTAAGACTACTATTAGAGATACAACGGCGCATATTCGTATTTTGATTTTCTGAACCATTTATAATACCAACTTCTAAATCACGATCAAAATCTATTTCACCAGGAAAAAACCAATCTGCATATGTAATCAACTGATCAACTATAAGACTAGAGTTATTAGCTGTGCTCATGTTCATTCTGAAATAATAAATATTATATTGGTAGAAATTATCGTACATTGTTTATTCTTTGAAAAATTGATTAGAGATAGAGATCAAAACAGAACAAAAGTTAGTATAAAAAAATAATTTATTAAGTTATAAGCAATTAAAATTTATGTTGGATAAATTGACATCAAAATAAAGCGAAACAGTAATATTCAAACAGAATTAAATTAAAGAGATTAAAATTTTAAAATCTCATTTTGTCTCATTTAATCAAATGCAAATTCCAAAATATAAAATAAAATAAATCATAATCAATTTTGTATATTAATTTTTGAATTTATTTTAATATTTAGAATGAATTCTTCAAAAATATTCCACGAATATTAATATTCTATATATATATATAATAATTTGTACAAGATAGTCGGTAGCTAAAAATATAATCGGAAAGAGGTGATACTATATCAAAAAATAAATCGAAAATAATAAAACAAAATTTTTTCATATAATGTTTTGTTTCGAGAAAATCTATTTTAAATATTTGCCAAATATATTTGATTATGTTTTGATTTAATCTATCTCGCTGTATATTTGTGTTTATTATACAGGGTAATTAAAAACACAATAAAACCAAATATTAATTTATTATATAAATAAATTTTAATATTACAGAAATCATTGAAAATATTCGTTATTGCAATTTCTTTAAAATAATAATTGATGTGATTTCCCTAAAGTTTAGATTGGAGTTTAATTTTTTTCACTATAATTTCCTCATACCATTTGATTTTTATTTATGGATCAAATTCATATTAAATCAATTCTTTATTCTATTGCTAATTTTCAATTACTAGTTTTGATTATTAAAGGAAATTAAATTAAAGGAAAGAATTAATTTCATGTTCAATCAATTAAAACAATAAACATGATAGAAATTTAGTTTGTAGAGTATTTGACAAAATAGCAAACATTTTCAACAATTAAAATAATAAAATTTATCATAAATTCTTGATTAATTAGTATAATAAATACAAATTTAACCAAAAAAATAATCTATAGCGAGATATGTTAGATCAGAATATAGTCAAATGCACATATAGTTAGGATGTAATTAAGTTCTGCAAACATTTAAAATTGATTTTCGACTTATTTTTTGATGTAAAATGATCCTTTTTTTAGACTATTAATAGTGGTACTATCAATAGTTGTATATTATAATTTGTTTTATTATTTAATAATTAATTATAAGATTATATAATAAATAATATAGTTTTTACTTATTATTCAAAAAAATAGATTCTTACACCATTGTATTTACATCCTCTTGTGGGCTCCATATTAAATTAGGTGCAATCACAATTGCAATATTTTGTGGTGACATTTTATTTACATCTTGATTTTTAGTCAGTACAGCTAAAAATTTGATTAGGAACCGTAAATTTTCTAAATTTGCTGATGGTAATTTATGTAACACTTCCCAAAGCGCTCTTAATCTTGTTTCATTCTGTGTTATTTTTGCAGCTGCCATCCATTCAGGATATAATCTTTAATATAAAATAAAAACATGAATATAACATTATTTTTTTTCATTATAGTAATATTTATATATTATCATTATAGTAATATTTTTGGCAATAAATATATTTATATTTACTTGTATGTTAGAAGAGGTTCTGGTAATTCTCGAAGATAAGATTTCAATGCACCAGCAATGACATGTGGATCTTTATATTCTAGAGCAGTTAGTAATGTAAGACAACATGCATCTAAACTTAATTTAATTCGTCGTGATTTTGATGCAGCGCCAGCTATTCTAAAAAGACCTTCTTCTTCCATACCTAATCTTAATAATGCAGATACACATAATTGAATGGGTAATGCAATTTTTCTGTTAGTGACTCTGAGATGTTCTTCCAGAGGGTAACCATAAACTGGTTTCATTTCATTATCATCTGTAATTATAAAATGGGATTATATAGAATGAATATGAAATCTATTATTTTTATATATAATTCAAAACTTCTATTTTTTAAAAGTGAATTTTAAAAATGAATATAATTTCCTTTCTATTTTAGAACAGTTTTTTATCTAGTGATCCATTTTTTCACTTAATAAATTATTAACTCTTGAAAAATCGCAATCTGAGATAGAAATATTATTTTACATAAAAATGTCTAATTCTTGGTTTGTGTTCAGTTTTTAGTTTTCTTTAGTTTAAATTATTATATATATATTATTTATACATTATATATACATTATATATTACATTATATATATATTATTTATACATTTTCAATTATTTGTTATATATTTGTTATATTTGTATATATAATAAATGTAATATGTATTTATAATTGTATTTATAATTATGAATTTTTAAAAAATTATTATAATATTGCTATACTGTTATTATAATTTGTTAAATATAAAATATGATAATAAATTCTGGAATTTTTGTCATAAATTGTTTATTTCAAAGCATAACAGAACTTAATAATTAATTTAATTTAATAAAACATTTTTAAAATATTCTTTCTGTTAGTATACATACATCGCTAATACATACATTGGAAATTTTTTTTTTTTTCAACTTGCAAATTCATTTTTTTTAGAAATCAGTACTTCACTTTCAAAATTTTTTCTCTTGTATCTCAAAAAAATTTTTTTTAATACTTGTTTAAACATGGGAATAGAAAGAAATTATTGATAAATTTAGTAGGCTAAATTTAACATTAAACATTATAATTTTATACTAAAAAATTAAAAATATTTAACATAATTAACAATGCCATAAATGGCTATATATTATCATGCAATAGGTGCACAAGAGGAAATAATTACCAAATCAAAAAAAAATGTTGAAAGCAATTTAACTTATAACGATATATTTACAAATTGGAAAAAATGCTTTTAATAGTATATACTTAAAAAAATAGAATACTATTTTGAACATTCTAATACATTTTGAAATGTAAAATAAATAAAAATAAACAACATTTATGACAAAAAACTTCAAATTTTTTATTACATATTTTTTTCTTATATATAACTAAATAATCACACAATTTTATTTTAGAAATTTAACATTTTGATTAAATTTAGAAATATTTAAAATAAATTAAAAAGAATTTTTTATTTTCTAGTTATTGTTAATTTTTTTTTATATCAAATCTATATTTATCATAAAAATTAAATCAATAAAAAAAATATAAAAAATAAGTAATTAAATAGTATTAAGAAATAAATATCTAAAATTTAAATAATTTATATTATTTACTGAAACAAGCAAAATATATCTAAAAAATATAGATTTTAAAATACTTTTCTTTAAAATAAATTATAATTTTATTAAATATAAAAAAATTGATTTAAAAATATATTATATTATAAATGATTATAATATAATATCATTTATGATAATATCATAAAATGAATATCCAAAAAGAAAAATATATTAAGATATAAAATTTATTTTTTCATTCATAAAATATATTTTATTATTATTATTAATCTTTTTTTTATAAATTTCTTTTAATATTCTTTCTTTATATCGATATACATAAATTTTTTAATTGTATCACAATTTCCGATATATTATATATCAAATATATATAATTTTCTATTTATTATTTGGATAAATAAATTAAATTAATAAATTATTCCTACAAAAAAATATAAAATTATATTTGGCATTAAAAGCATTTTAGAATCTGTTTAAAATTTATGATTAAATATTTTTTATTTTTTCTAATAAATACCATATCAATAATAATATTAAGTAAATTATAAAATTATAAAATTAATTATAAAATGCGTAATTCATGAAAACTATTTTTTAATTTATTAAAATGATTATATACTGTTATTATATGTTATGTCCTATAATTCATGAAACTTTTACAAATTTCAAAATTGAATGTTGATTATATATCCAAAAATAATGAAAAAAAGTTCATATATTATTATTAAGTAAATATATTCTATTTTGTTTGTTTAAAAAAATTGTTCATTTAAAATTATAAGGAATTTTCTGCAATTTTTAATGTTTTTCAAATAAATGAGATGAACATAAAGATTTCTTATTATATAATCATCTCCTTTTATTTAAATCCATTGAATTTCATTACTTACAAATATATTTAAAATCTATATACAATGCAGTATTATAAATGTTGAAATATTATAGAAAATGTTAAAATACTATAAAATATAAAAAGCATGTCAACATTAGAATTTATTGAAAGGATAACCAGATCCATAATAAATTTATAAGTTGGAAAAGCACTTGTTAGGAAAAGCAAAGTAGTCATTTTGAATATTTTCGCATTATATATATAAGAAAGATAAATACTGCTTAATAGTTTTTTTAGATATAAAAAAGACATTTGATAAAGTTTGGCATAGAAAACTACTAAAAAAATTACAATCAATTTTTATAGTTTCAATAATTTCAATTATCTTTTCATACCTTTTTATGTCAAGATTAATAATACAATCTCATCGTTTACAAAAATTCATGCTAGAGTACCGCAAAGAAATGTCTTTAAACCTATGCTTTACTTTTTACTGTTGATATATCAATTAAACCAGATATCGAAATATACACTTTTGCAGATGATACAATCATACTTTCTATACACAAAAATATCGAAAGTGCAATAAAAAAATTACAAAATCATTTAAAAAAGATTAAAAACTGATCATAAGACAATAAAATCAAAATAAATTTAACTAAATGCTCACATATCACTTTTATGCTCAATAGAAAATCAATTCCCAAAATTAACTTTCAAAATTCAGAACTCACCCAAACAGAATCCATTAAATATCTTGATCTCCACTTAGATAGTAAATTAAACTGGAAGAAACATATATAAGAAAAAATCAAGCAAATAAAAATGGCTAGAAAAAGTATGTACTGACTCACAGCGAGAAGATCCAAATTAGACATAAATAATAAACTTCTGATCTATAAAACTATAATTAAACTAATATAGATACGGACTGCAAATCTGGATATAAATGGAGTATAAAAAACATCAGAAAAATCTTCAATTCATCATTTCAAGAACTATTTTAAATTGTAATTTGTGAGAAATACAATATTAGGAAAATTTCAAGACTCTGTATGGTAGCAGAGAAATGACAATACTTAAAAGTATATTAACAAAAATTATAGTCAAACATATAAACCCACTAGCTATAAACTGTTATTCAGATTTTCCTAGAAAATTCAAGAAAAAATATCTGATTTTATCAATTAAATTTGAAAATGATAGCTAATTTTTCAGCTAATTATTTAATAACTTCTGGATTACCTATATATATATTTTTAAATCCCCAAGTTGATTTTTATTTTTTATTATTTTGACTACTTATTTTTTTATTTTAATTATTGATACAATAAATGTAATTATTTTGTACAAAATAAAAACATTTATAAAAAAAATGAAAAAAAACTTGAATACTTTTTGTAAAAGTAATTCAATAATACAAAATTTGTTATACTTCATAAATAAAATCAAATAGTGCAAATTTTTTTATTATTTATATGAACTCTTTTCATTACTTGTGATATAATCAATTTTTAAATTAAATAACGTAAATTACAAACCATCTTGTATAACAATAATAACAAGCTTATAAATATAATTAAGTTTAACTTACTAATATAACTTTCTAATCCTGGAATAAGATCTTCAAGACAATGTAGTGCACTTTCATGATAAGCTCTTTGAAGTTTTATATATTGTATAATAGTGTGTGCTAATTCAGTTTCTCGTGACATAAGTTGAAACATTTCTGCTGCTAGTTGATCTCTACACTGTTCAACTTTAGCTTCAGCTTCTTCTAACTCTTCTCTTAAATTATCTACTTTTGTTGCACCTGAACCTTTTATATAATATTAATTAAAAATTTAAATATAAGTATTACAATATAATTTACAAGGTAAATTAAAATTTCTTCTTACTAGCACTATGTTTACTGGCTTGTTGATATCTTGTTCTCACACTATCCATGTCCAAGATTAATCGAGCTAAATTTCTTTTATGTTTTAATATATTTGGTACATCTGTATCTAAAATATGTTGAAGAGGAATTGCAACATATTGTTCAACTTTTGTTTCATGTTCAATTGCTTCATTTGCTAAATGTATTTGTGCACGGCCACATTCTGATAAAGTAAAACCCATAAGACCATCTTCAGGAGCATTTTCTAACATTGTTTGTCCCAATATATATT